GTGCATGATCAGTGGAGAATGGGTGGTGCATCCTCAATTCCTCGTAAACTTTCGTAACTTAGGAATTATTGTCCTCGAAACTCAGAGTATCCTGCTCAAGGCGAAAATATTATTTGCACACCTCATAAGTACGAGTAAAATTACCGGTGCCTAGTTGCTAAGTAGATTTCCTTGGCAGTATCAAGATAAAGTAATCTGGAATTGATATGAGGTTCAATACTGATACGAGGTTCAATACTATTTAACAGTAGCAAAATAATATGTGAATCCTCTTGTTCCCACTAATCAAATCTGGGGTCATTTTCCTTGAGTTTAGCTCCCATCAAATATTTTTTAAGACCTTTGTTTTTAAGAAAGACTTAAACAGATTGAGACCATAAAATATACTTATTTACATTGAGCTTGACTAAAGCCATGTGAGCATTAAGAAAGGGAGTCGGGGAAAGTGTGGGTGAAAAGGTTGGGGCAAGAGATGCAATATCAGTCTTGGGCTCCACAGATTCGGAGACAAACCAGGAAAAACAGAGCAACTAATGCAAAAACCAAGTCACCGGAGCAGGGCTGAACCAGTTGCAAAAGAAGCTGAACTAGTGGCAAAAGAAGCTGAACTAAGCACAAAGTTGTTGATTCAACCCAGATCTGGACTAACAGAAGACTGAACATGGTGGCAAAAGAAGATGAACAGGCAGATCTGTGATGAATCAGTTGTAAAAAGGCACTCAACTGGGCTAAAATCCCTGAACTGGCCTGAACTAAGTAGAACAACACCTGAACCGGTTTGAATTGAACCGAAGAGGGTATGAAGTGGGTTGGGCTGAACTAGTTTGGACTAAACTCACCTGGGTTGGACTAGATTAGTAGGCTAAGTTGAGTTAGTGGGCTTGGGTTGGAAGACTTGAGGACTGGACTTACATAGGTTTGTCCCAAATATAGATTGGGTTGTATCAATTGGATTTAGCCCCCTAAATCCGGGTATGTTGTATAACTTGAAGGGGGATCCGACTTTAGGTCGTCTTCTTTGTGTCGACTGCCTTTGGGAACTCTATTCCTCAATGGCGCAATGACCGCAACAGCACAAGACTAGACCATCGGTGTCAACCCCAACCCCCAACCACCAACCATGACAATCGTAGTCCTTGTCAATGAAGACGGAGTAGATTACTTCGGTGTCGACAATAACAGAAAAGAACCGACCACCAACGACAAAAAAAACCAATCAACACAACCTTTGACTACTTTAATCAGAACCCATCACCAAAATCAAATATGCTTTCCAACCACTCATGACCAGTGGTTATGCTTAAGATGGTATAAGCTATAAATCCCTCGTCATGGGTTACACCTATGAAGCACGGACACTCTCGAGAAGGTGACGTATCCGTGTCGGACACCGATACTCTTCGGACATCGATACTCTTTGGACATTCTCGGACACGTGTCTGATATTTTCTTATCGTTGTCCATAATTAAATAATAAAATTTTAATTTTGGACACTTATCCGACACTTGTTTGGTGACGTGATTGACACTTATTTAAAACTTGTCTACGACTAAACAATAAATATGTGTTGAAATGTGATTAACAAAGCTTATCAATTTGAGAACATATAATTACCAACGCTAGACATATTAAAGTTGTACTCCAAATGTAATAATAAAAACAAAAGATGCATAAAAGATTTAAAAAAAAGTAATTGAGAAGATGCGAGCAATTATTTAAATTATATATTAAGTACACATTGTCTACAAAAAAAATTGATGATTATTGACTATTAAGAAGATGCTTTAGTCAAAAAATTCGCATAGATGATTAGACATAAGATTTACTTATCATAACATACTGAATCTTTTATGAATTGTATATCATTATCACTATATTTACAATAAATTATATAATGTTATATATAAATATAATTTTTTATAACGTGTCCGTACCCTACTTTTTTTAAAAATGTTGTGTAGTATCTGTGTCCCGTGTTCGTGTCCATGCTTCTCAGGGTTACACAGTAAAATAAAATAGAAGAGGAGAAAAAAGAAAAGTAAAGGAAGAAAGAAAAAAGGAAGGAAGAAAAATGACAAGGCTGGGGAAGTAAATTTTGGATCAAATTTGGACCTGCTTTGATACCATGTTAGTTTTGGGGAATGGAGAGAAACCAAAACAAGAGAGAGGCTAAGAGTAGTAAAATTATAGTACCTCTCACTCTCATCTTTTATTTATAGTGATCGAGGGAAACATAAAAAACTAGTATACCCTTAGAGAGATATACTTATTACAACCATAGAAATAATATAGTAATAGTACTATAATATAGTAAGAGTATATATAACCTACTCTCCAAGGAAATGGTTTGCAAACTGTTCAATTCATCAGATGTATCCTTCCTCCAAGATTTATTTTGGGTGGAACACTGAAACAATACCATTTTTCTAGTCGGAGTTGAAATATTCATGGTTATGTATTCCGTGGAGAGATGGTTGCAATGTAACATCTGGCAGAATCTAAGAATTCGACATAGAATCCGATCCCAATAACTAACATATCATCTCTTGGTTCTATTATTTAATGTGGCAGCTTTTGTGATGCAACTTCCGTATAGAGTTCATGTCTGTGCCAACCACATTACCAAGATTTAGCTCGGATTGGTTAGAGTTATGGGAATTTGTTTGCATCACCATATGGTTTAAAATTAGTTAAGAGCATAGTTGTCAAATTGCTTATCGGAAGGCGTATCATTTTTCAAAAATAGTGTATCGTATTGTATCATGTATCGTGTATTGTAATATATGCGTAATTTTAAATAATTATTAATAAAATATAAATATACCTTTGTAAAAAAGTCATAGATATTTCACTAACTATTCAAGTTCCCAACATAGTTCATTAATATCAAAATATAAAGACCTTTAATTCAAACTTATAACATCAACTACTTAAACAACCTTAATATTAATCAGGGATTTTGAATTCAATTGAATAACATTAGCAACAGACTTTATTTATTTTTTTAAAACCATAACCACTAAAATAAGGTTATTTCCCTGGCTAGTGATTTAAAAATAAGTTATGGGATGAAATGATGTCATTTCAGCAAAAAAAAATAAATAATAAAAAATAAAAACAGAATCTTCACGTATCGTACATATCGGATGTATCGTATCGTATCGTGTATCGTACGATATGGTGTAAAAACGATACAGATACGATACATATCGTTTTTTAGGTGTATCGTGACGTATCGTACGATACTAATAACTATGATTAAGAAGATCAGTTAATCTCAATTCATTTAGCTCCATAAACTTATATAGCACCAATAGCTTTATCATATTTGTTAAACCTACAGACACGCCAGATCATTCAAATTATTCTTCATGCATGAGTCCAGGCATATATGGTTCACTAGCAATAATTCTGTGTCTGAAGACACTGAAATACCAAAAATCGAGTATTGATTATGCAAAATTTATATTTTAAAATAATAGTTTATTTATTATTTTTCTTTAATTATATAATTTAAAATTAAAGTGAATTGAGAAAAAATAAGAGAGAAGTAAGAGGGAGAGAAGGGAGAGGTATGTGTAAATTAATGAGGTTGTCTGGCATTGGGAGCCGTGCATAAAATATGATGTTTTTTAGCAGAAAAAAAATAGGATGAATTTTGTACTATATTGGATCAAAGTAGATAAAAATTAGATCAATCTTAATCGATGTGTGCTTTTATAAATTGAGAATTCAACTTTCTAGCTGTAATATTAGATAGATGTGTCATCCCCAATTTAATACTAACTGCCACTACTGAGCTGTGAAGCTTTTGCAAAGCATCAGATCCCTTGATTTTCCTTTAGCAAAACTTCCATGCTTACCCTTGAGAACTAATGTATTATACTAACTTGAGTAGTAGAATAAAATGCCAGCCTCAAATGATATGCGTTCACTTACCTTTATGACTGCGCAATCCATTTTTGTTTAAACAAGTTTTCTGTTGTAGATAAACATGAGAACATTTGAAAACAACTGGACTAAGGGTTGCAAATGTATGACACATCGGATGTTAAAATGGCCGCCTAGGTGCCTCCTTATAGAGCCAACTATATATCTTGCGTAATATCTTAAAGGAAAAAATGCACAAACACGGCTCTACCAGACCTTAACATATTATGACTTGAATGAATTTTTAAGACCTGGTAAAGGAAAAGCTCATTGCTTTTAAAATTCCCCAATTAGGCTACTTCGGGTGTATTTCACAGATAGAGGAGCTGTTTTCTAGATTAGATACTTGCACCTAACAACGATCTAAATTTTGTTTCGAAACGTCCGAAATATCCGAAACGTTTCCGTTTCTGAGGAGACCGAAACGAATCAGTGATGGAATCGAAATTATAAAACTTCAAGATGTTTCATAATGTTGAGGTATTTTGTAATATTTCAATGCATGCGCAGAATTGTTTTGGAATATTTCAAGATACTTTGTTATATTTCGACTAATGTTTTGAAAACTTAATTCTTAATTTTTTTCTTTTTTTTTCATTATGTTTCCAAAACAGATTGAAATATTTCCGAAACATGTCGAAACGTTTCCGTTTCCTAGGTGACCAAAATAATGCATCGAAACGAAATTTTGATCCTTGCACCTGAGAAGACAATTTCTACACCGACAGACAATCTAGCTAACAAGGATCCTTAAGAAGCACCCATGAAATCCCCTATATATCTGGCCTCATGCATTCAGTGACCCACTTGCAATGGGATCTCCTTGTGCCCTTGTAACATTGTATCCTGTCAAAGACTTAATTCTATACTACACCCTCGTGTAAGATCCAACTTTAGTTGTCAACTACTAAATACTTAAGACTTTTGAACACCCGTTACACTCCAAGGCAATGGACAAAGCTGCCAGACCATTTATTTTTGAAATTGGGACAGGAGTTTAGTGAACCTGCACCATAGATTACTGAAGCGAGGGTTGTAGCAATACTTTTTCACAATCATATTTCCTTTGATGATCTTCTTTCAACTTCAGTTCCATAGTGCAGCTTCCACCATTGTAAGGTCATAGAAGGGCAAATATATACAAATGCTCCTCCAGAGATCCGCTTGGTGAACATAAACATTAATTATGCAAATGTACTGGTAAATCATTTCTATTTTTGAACTGATGGAGTTTTGATCCTTATGCTTGCAGGGAATTGGATGTACAAAGATTACTAAGGCCAAAAACGAGGGTTCGATGAATGCAAATGTAGAATCAAGAGCATACCTTGAAAAAAAACTTGTCTTTTGCTTTGGCTCTTATGTTGCAGCCCAATTGCTACTTCCTTTTGGGGAAGAAAACATTCTTTCTTCTTCAGAGTTGAAGCAGGCACAGGAGGTAGTATCATCCTCAGTTGATGCTTTTGAAATGTGCAATTCATCTGATCTTGTTTGTTCATAGCTACACGAATCTAATTACTACTATCTATGTGCACCAGATAGCTACGCGGATGGTAATTCAGTATGGGTGGGGCCCTGATGACAGTCCAACAATTTACCACCATGGCCATGCGGTATTCACTTGTATTAGATCTAGGGGTCTATTTTTCCAAAAATCATTGATTTTACACCTCAATCGCTGTGCAAATAAAGTCCATAGTACAGCTGCTGGAGTAATATGCTACAGTTAGCAGACAGAGAATAACTGTATTTAAAAGTTCAATGCATGTATGGGGAATTGAACAGAGAATACGCCATATGTGATCTATAACTTTCCAACATTGATTGATGCTTAGAACTGCTTCGGAATCATGTGAAAACTTCAAAGGTCCTGGCCTCCTGGGGCAATATTTTTATATGATATAGTTGATTGCAAGATATATTGCTCGAGTACCGAACATGCTGAATGCTTTTTGTTGACTGGCACAGGTGACAGCTTTGAGTATGGGAAACAGCCATGAGTATGAGATGGCTGCTAAAGTTGAAAAGGTACGCATGTTGCAAATCATTCTTTAACTGTAAATTGTCAAATGGATATGAGCTATGAATATGCTAATGTGACATCAAGCTGAAGAGGAATGCCAGTCACTGTCTTACAGTCAGATTTTACCATTTTATTATTTGAACCAAAAGTTGGCTATAACAGTAACTGCAATATCTACTTTTTTGCAAAGCTAGCACTTTTGGGGTCTAAGATTGATCATTTCATTAGATCTTAAAGTTTAGGTACCATTTTGTCCAAGAATGATAGCATCTTTAGATGAGATGTTTGGCTTTGTGCAGATTTATTATTTAGCATATGATAAAGCAAGAGCTATGCTTCACAATAATCGTAGAGTGCTTGAAAAGATTGTGGAGGAATTGCTTGAGTTTGAAATATTAACAGGACAGGTAAACAGTGCTTAGTAAATACCTGTTTAACTACAAATTGCAACATTAAATATTCCTGTTTATGTGGACTAGAATTTTTCTTAATTTTACACATTCCCTTATTCTGTATCTTGTTATAAATTGTTGTGAGATGTCATTTATTGAATTTTTGAAGTTTAGGATTTACTAAGATGAAATTGTAATAGAACTGGGTGAGAGGAGGGGGAATAGATACCCTACCTCTCATTATTGACTCATATTTATTGGTGTACAATGAAACATAGTAGACAAGTATACCCATACATGGGTTTATTTTTTACAACAACTAAAATAACTTTTAACACCCCCCTCAACCAGGAATATATATATATATCATATAATCTAAGTTTGGAATAAATAGTTGTGAGATGTAACTCAATGCATTGGTAAACATATCTGTAAGTTGGTCTTTAGACTTTAGAAGTGGTGTCACAATATCTTCACTTAGTATCTTATCCCGAACAAACTGACAATCAACCTCGATGTCCTTATTAGTTTTCTCATGAATGACTTGATTAATAGCAATATGTTGTCTAATTGCTGCAAACTAAATGTAGAGGAGATTAATCTGGGAAGCCAATCTCTTGAAGAAAATATTGCAACCATGGTAATTCACTCGTAGTTTGTGTCATTATTCTATACTCCTTTTTTTGCTCTAGCTCATGTTTCCACAACTTGTTCTTCGAAACTAAATTGCCCGCAAAGAAAGTATAATATCTAGTAGTTGACCCTCAATCGGAGGTAGGTTGAGCCCAATCATCATTTTGTAAATCCATCCACTCTCAGATGTCCATTCAATCGATATAACAACTCAATCCTAGGCGCCCGTTTCAGATATCAAAGATTACGAACAACAACATTCACTGTGGTACACTAAGTGAAGTCATAAACTGACTCACAATATTTCTCAACCAATCTTTGAAATCGATGCTATAGAAAAACCTTTAAGTATCTAATACCTGTCAGTAATCACAATATCATCCACTTTCACAACAAGTATAATGTAACTTGCATTCATATGTCAATGGAATACAAAATGATCTATCTGGCACCTAGAGAGACCAAACCCTAAAACTACCTCAGAACGATTAGCAAATCATGCTCTCGGTGACTTCTTTAAACCATGTATTACCTTTTTAAATCGTCACACACTACCACAATTCTTGCCCATGGAAATGAATCCAAGTAGTTATTCCATGTAAACTTCCTTACCTAAGTTACCGTGCATAGAGGCATTTTTTGCATCAAATTGAAACAAAGACTGATCAAGAAACACACGAGTTGAGGGGATCTTAGCGAGGGGTGAAAAGTTTCATTATAATTAATGCCATTGGTGAAGCCCTTTAGCAACAAGACGAGCTTTTAGATGTGCAACCAAACCATCAAGATGGAAACCCACCAACAATCGAGTGGCTTTTTACCATAGATCCAATGGGGCGGGGGAGATAGTAATGTAGCCCTAGTTATAGAATGAATGTAGTAGAACTTTTGGAATTAAAATGGCTACCAAACAACATGCAATAACACACACAAACACAGTAAGTAAATGTAATCAAAGCTATCAAATGCAACAATCATGAAACTAAACCAATAATGTCTCAAAATGGCCTATAGGAAACAATAAGCAAAAAGGGATGGCTAAAGGTTCATGTTCTAAGGTCTTTTAATTCAGCCTCTGAGTAAGGAATGAATTTTTTGAAGGTTTAAGCAAATTTCCAGCCACCTAGAAGTGCTGCTGGTAAATGGAAGGGATAGGCTTTGGAAACAAGGGCCAATAAGAAGAAGGGAGGAAATAAGGAAGAAATCTTACCTAGAGAGCTGTAGGAGCTGTTAAACCCAAGAAATCTACAACCAGCTGTGCAGAGAAGCTTTAAATAGCAGTTAAACAAGCTTTTGAAGAGAATGTAGTGGTTAAAGAAGATAAACTGCATACCGAAGAACAGAAAGGAAGAGGAGAGAAAGAGAAGAGAAGACTCAAGAAAGAGAAAGGGGGAGATAAGAAGACCTGGCAGCAACCAACATCAAAAATCTTTCCCAAAAATCTGCTCCTTTCGCCTGGGAGTTAGGCTATTTATAAGAGAGGGAACCCTGAATCTCAACCCTTCATTTGCTCTCAAGCTTAGGTGTCTCCATCTATAATCTTACTTTCACCTCATTTAAATTGTCATGTGCTGGACATGTGACTATTTAAATGACTTGAAACAAAATGTGGATATCCCCACATCATAAGAAAAAAACTTTAACAGAACATAAAATAAAAAATAAATAAAAAAAACTATAAATGTAAATATAAGTCCAAAAACTAAGCTACATTAGATAGTTTAGAGCAATGGCACATAGCTTCTTTAATTTAATTTCGTTGAAGGAATTAGTGAAAGAACATGGTTTTAAGAGAGAGTGAGATTGTATTATGACAATCTAGGAAGTCAGGACACTCGCCGAAAGGTCGAAGTGGCAGTGTCGGACACGTGTCCGACACGGATGTGTTTAGGACACGGCCGGACACGTGTCTAACACTTCTACTGGTGTCCTGAACAGCGAACAAGAATTTTTTGAAGTTAGATACGGCTAGGATACGTGGGGGATATAGGGAATTAGGGGTTGAAAAAAATAAAAAAAATAGCAAAAGTTGTTGACATAGTAGAGAAGAAGAGGTGAAGAGACATTGATGGGGCTAATATGTTAATATCTTACAATAATTGAGTAATGGGGCTAATATGTTAGGTCTTATAATTAATGTTATTTATATAAAAAATATATAATATTATTTTAATTAGTTGTATTCTTGTCATACCGTATCCTATATTTTAGAATTTTTTCATATCCCCGTATCCGTATTCATGTTTCCTAGGTGACAATAAAGTAGCAATCAGTATTGTGTACAACTCAGTTCAATATAATCAAAGTAAGAATATTGGATTGACAGACATCTTGTCAAACATAAGTTGAAAGGTGGGCATGCACGACACTTTTTCACCAACTTGAGAGGAGTGTTGGGAGTATCTTTCCTATATCTTATTTGCCATAGAGGGTATTTATGGCTTTACATTGCACGCAGTGTATATGACATATTACACAGAAGAAGTTTTAATCACACTATTCTTTTCTAGCAATATACTTTGTCTTGCTTTTCTTTTCTTCTTTTATCTTATGTTCTTTTTTTTTTTTTACTCTCCTTGGTTATATGTTCATAGCAGATTTCAAGATGAATTATCTTTGATAAAGCCTACCCCAAAATTTTTGCTAGTTCAAGTATGTTTCCCTATGTGTTTTATTATGATACCCTAGTCTACCATAAAACATGCCGAGTGTAGTTCCCAGAAACCTAGTTGTTTATGGTTTAATTGGTGATTCACTCTTGGGCACTACATTCGTTTTAATGTTTCCTAACATTAACGGCTTTCTAAATCAAGAGGAGGGTTTGGAAAAGTCTGTTGCATGTGAGTTTTAAGGGTTTAAGTAAACTCTCACAGACGGTGTTGGTAAGGGATTAGAGTTGTAGATATAGATTTATGTATGATATGTGCATTGGAAACATTTATTTTAATGAAGTTGCCATTGTTTGCAATTACTGGATTATAGTTTGTTTCTTTTAGGTGCCGTTGGGTAACAGTGTGTTTGTGTTTTTTTTTTTGTTTTTGTTTTTGTTTTTATTTTGTGCCAAAAAAAAAAAACAATAACGTGTTTGTGATGTGTTTCTGTTTTTTGTAAACCACATTATTTTGAAAACAAGATCCAAATATGTAAACACAAAAAATGATGTTTTTGAAACCATCCAAAACTAAAAACACGTTCGCATCCCTATTAACAGTTAATGAGGTCTAGCCTTCTGATCTCATTAGTGACAAAATGAGGTTTTTTTTTGTGCCAGCTATAAAAACCCTTTTTTTTTCGTCTCTCGCTTGTTCTCTCTCTCTCTCTCTCTCTCTCTCTCACTCGTCTGTCTTCTGAAATCAGTGACAAAGACGAAGAGGCCGAAGACAAAATCAAACATGAAGATGAAATATACATCGTCTATCTCTCTCATTTTTTGCCTTTTTCCTTAACTGTATACCATATATACACATAGATCTATGTATATATTTACATATATATATATATCTGTATAAATATGCATATATAGATATTGATCTACATATATGATGTTATATATACATAGATCTACATGTGTGTGTGTTTATTTGTGTTAGTGTGTGTATGTATGTGTGTTGTGTATATAGATCTGTGTGTGTGTGTGTATCTTTTGTTTGTGTGTGTGTGTCCCCAACAAGAGGATAGTCTGTGTATATCTCGTCTGTGAGTGTCTATCAACAAGTACATCTCCATTTGTTTTTTTTATCACAAAGAATATCTCCAATTGAGAGATATTTGGGATGAAAATATTAACCAAAATAATGTTAATAAAATATTACTCAAAATATATAATACCAAACATGTTTTTTATTTCTATTTTTATATTTTTTTAAATATAACCGACAACAAACATGTTTTATATTTTTAATTTTTATCACCAAAAAAATAAAAACTAGTTATGTTTTTTTTAATAAAAAAAACACAAACAAAAACGTTACTAAATGCACTTTTAGGTTGTGTTTGGTAACATTTTCGGTTTTTAGTTTTTTAAAAAAATAAAAACTGAAATGGTTTTCATGTTACTTATTATAAAAAACAAAAATCAAAAACCTTTTTGGTTGTATTTTCTATTATAAAAAAAAATGAAAATAGAAACAAAAAACTTGTTTGATAAACATTTCTAAATTATATTATGAACTGGTATCCAAGTGGCCTGACGGGTCATGGGAACCTAGCCCAGTCCAGCCCACCTTAAAGTGGCCCAAATGCCAGCATTCTTCATATTGATGAGCCACTCTTCAATTTGTCATTCAGTTGCCCCACCACACCTCACAAAAAAAAAAAATCCCCTCATTATATATATACATACAATATAGCAGCTCATCATCTTGTCTCAAGCAAAGTAGTTGAATAGAACCCTTATATCAGCTCAATTAGTCCAAACTCCTCAACATATTTGCAGACAAGCTTGCTTTTATTTTTTAAACCAATGTATGTGATAGAAGTATCAATGTAAAAGAATCTCCATCTCGCAACAACATTTAGGACATAACTTCAATGACAGGCGTGATCACATATTGCTATCGGCAATATACATGCCTATTTGGATTGAGCTTTAAAACTACAGTAGACGATATTGAAGTCGATGAGAATGATAACGGACACATAAAGACACATAGAGGTAATTGAATACGGAGAACAACATTGAAAAAAATACGAAATGAAGAGAAAGACAACAATACTAGACACTCTCGCTGAACGAACACTATCGCATAGGGAGCGTAGATTATTCCAGGAATATAGCCCAAAATTGTCAATACCAAGCATATGAAGAACTCCACCAGCAAATTCAAATCCATATCAACAAAATTACATCCACATACAAACAAATCAATTCTGGTATATAAACCCAAATTTTTATTTCATATTTATGTAAACCCATATGGTGATTTATAGATAAAAACAGAAAAATAGGGTGGGTTTGGGGTTTACACTGCAGCAACCGTGTGACCGAGGCAATCACCCGGAGGAGGAATCAAGATTGCGAGTAGGATTTCGCACAGGATTTCACATTTGGTTGCCATTGTTACTTGTGTGTGGAGAGAGAGAGAGAGAAGAGGATGAAGCTGCTGTGAACAACCTTGGTGAGAGAGCTTTAGATGAGAGAGACGAACTGCTGGACGCCTGGAAGGAAGCCTGGAACTCCTCAACTAGAATGCCTAGAATGAAGCCTCAAATGCCTCTGCTGAATGATGAGATGAGAGTGACGAAGAGACGATGAGACGAGGGTTTAAATAATTTTGCTTGAGGGTTTTTTGGTAGAAGCCTTTATTTGTTCTTAACAAGAGTCGATGGTGGGATCTCATTAAATTGAACTCCGCCCGTTTCCGTTTCCGTTTTTATTTTTGTTTGGAAATGACTTTTTATCGTTTCCAAAATTTGACACAAATTTGAAAACGATTTTAGTTTAAAAAAAACTAAAACGGTTATCAAACGAGGTAAAGTTTTAGGTTTTATAAAAAATTGAAAACAAAAACGGAAAAATTGAAAACCAAACCGTTACCATGGATGAAAAGCTCCTAGCATATTGGTCTAGCAAGGTGTCTGTCTATGCGAACTAATGGCTTGTGATGTGTATAGCTTAGACAAAAACAAAACCATTGGCGAACCCATTTTGCATCAACGCTTAGTTCTAGGGTGCTTCTTTTATATGTTTTCTTCGTAGGAGTGTAAATCCCAGAAACCTGGCTGTTTATAGTTCCATTGACGATTCATTGTTTGGCCCTGCATTTTTATGTAAAATGGTTCTCAAGGACCATCTTCTAGGATAATAGTTGAATTCATATCCCTAGGGAAGAGAAAAAATGAAAGCTTAAATTGATGTCAATGTTTCATATATGAGATAACAAAATCAAGCTAGAAAACATTCTTGTGTATGCAATGCCATTATTTACATTCGTTTTAATAATTTTACGTATCACATGATGACTTTACTTACTGAACTATGATATGGGTGTCATTTACCTTTTTTCATTGTGGCAACACAAGTTTTTTCCATTATGGTTGGAGGATAAACTCTCGCAATGTGAAAAACAGCTTGTGCGTTGCTCTTGGGCATCTTACTTTTGATGCCATGAAATGTGGAAGTGTGAACTATCTCAAAGGCTCATGCCATTTGTCTCAAACTCATTTCGTATCTGTCACATTTTACCTTCCCTTGATTTTTGTGCTTTCAAATGATAGTTTTGTATTACTATGATTCACTGTTCATTGTCTTGGCAGGATTTAGAAAGAATTGTTGCAGAAAATGGTGGGTTTCGGGACATAGAACCGTTTTTCCTTTCAAATATTCACAAGGAAGAGGTATGGTTTCCAAACCGAATGGACAAATTTGGACTAAATATAGTAACTCAATGGTTAAGCATTTTTTAGTTTGCTTATCCTCTGGTAGCCCTTGCTAGATTACGAATATGGAAATATACCATATCACTTGAAAATATTTTTTGGGAAATCATTGCTCTTATTTGCATACTTGATGTTTGACCTGTTAGTTTTTTGCTTATTTCCAAGAAATAAGGGCCTTCTCATTGTACTTTTTTCCTCTTGTGTGTATCTCCTAGTTATGAATTCCTGGATTCACCTGTGTGAAATTTATTAAACGAGTTCCTATATTTTTGCAGCCTGTGTTTAGAAGCTTGCTTGAAAATGGGAATGCATCAGGAACAACCCTTTTGAGTGCGGCAAACTAGGATCAAAGTTAAGACTGAAGTGTGTGGTTAACCAAGATGTAGATGACGACAGTCTTCCCTCGCAAACATGGTTGCTCCCGCTGTCTGGTAAAGGCATTTTCCGATTTCTTGTGGGCAGTGGAGATATATGCTGTAGCTGTAGAAGTTATATTCTACCGCTTGGCATGTTGGTACTAGTATCTGATGTATAATTTATAGTAGTTCATAAGCACCATATGCTCAAATGCTTTATGGAGGTGATTGCATCCTAAGCTGTATGACCAAAGGGATGAAAAGGAAATTATAATGGGCTACACAGTACTATTCTGTGGTAATAAATTTGTGTATACGGACTGATATTTTCTAAAATCGCAATTGTTTTTAGGATGAATTATGCATATTGTTGAATTTGTTATGGTTTTGAAACTATTCCGTGAATTAGTTTGTATGGATTAAACTTCAACTTTTTATTGAATGAGGAATTAACGAAATTAGCAAGCAAAGCTACTGTAGGATAGTTCGGGTTACACTGCAGGGATCAAGCTCAGGGCATTTTAGGGAGTTTGGTGGCTACGCCTTCCTTACTGAGCAGGGTGATTGAGTCCCAGAGGCAGGACCCTGAGTTACAATCCATTAGGGACTGAGTGCAGACGCGTACCGGTGACGAGGGTTGGGCCATTCACTCAGATGACAGCCTTCGGTACAGGGGAAGGGTTGTAGTTCCCCAGTTAGCAGAATCTGAGAAAGGAGATCTTTAGGGAGTTCCACTGCTCCCGATTTACAGTGCATCCAGGCGGCACAAAGATATACTATGATCTTCGTCGTCAATATTATTGGAGTGGGATGAACAGACAGGTTGGTGACTTTGTCAGTAGATGTTTTACGTGTCAACAGGTTAAGGCTGAACACCAGAGACCAATAGGGTTGCTCTAGCCTTTGGAGGTAGCTGAGTGGAAGTGGGAGTATATCACCATGAATTTTGTGACCTACTTGCCACAGACATCGCGAGGATATGATGCAGTGTGGGTGATAGTGGACCGGCTTACAAAGTCGGTGCACTTTTTGGCAGTGCGAATGACCTTCTGACTGGAGGAATTCTGCAGATTGTACATACGGGAGATTGTCAGGTTGCATGGGTTGCCCGTATATATAGTATCGGATCAGGATCTCAGGTTCACCGCCCACTTTTGGGAGAGCTTCCAACGGGCTATAGGGACTTAGTTGACGATGAGTACAACATTTCATCCTTAGACGAATGGTCAGTCGGAGAGGACCATCCAGATATTAGAGGACATGTTGCGAGCATGTGTCCTAGATCTTAAGGGTAGCTGGGAAGATCACTTACCCTTAGTGGAATTCGCCTATAATAATAGTTATCAGGCGAGCATATAGATGACACCCTACGAGACACTTTATGGAAGGCCTTGCCGTTCTCCGATTTGTTGGACGGAGGTGGAAGAGAGACCCTCTACGGGTCCGAATTTGATTAGAGACACATCGGAGAAGGTGGAATTGATTCAAAAACGTCTTCTTACAACTCACAATCGACAGAAGAGCTATGCCAACAGACGGCGGCGACCTATGGAGTTTGAGGTAGGAGAACACTCTTCTTGAAGGTGATGCCTAAGAGAGGAGTGGTCAAGTTCAAAAAATTAGGGAAGCTATCGTCGAAGTTTATCGGGCCCTTCGAGGTACTCGAGAGGGTGGGTACAGTGGTTTACCGGTTGGCATTACCCCCAAATCTATTGGGTGTTCACGCGGTGTTCCATGTCTCTATGCTTTGGAAGTATACTCCAGATCTGACACATGTGGTGGATTGGGGTGAGATGATTGTTGATACGGATGAGACCTTCGAGCAGGGACCAGTGCATATCATGGATAGTCGGGAACAGGTCTTGCGGGGCAAGACTGTAAGGCTAGTGAAGTTGCTATGACAGCACCGAGGAGTGGAGGAGACGACATGGGAGTGTGAGGATACCAGATGCACCAATTATCCGTTCCTGTTCGAGGATAGAGGTACAAGTTTTATAATTTCTAGTATAATCTTATTGTTGCATATGCATGCGATTAAGTGTGTATATGAGTGTGAATTTCGGGGATAAAATTCTTTTAAGGGGAGAATAATGTAAAACCCGGGTAAATTTCAATTTTTATAAGAAATGACAAAATGGTAATTTGTCACTATAGTATGGGTTGTAAACCTGAAATTTTTTTGAACTCGGATGATGAAATGGACCTCATCGTTGAATTCGTCTGCGAAATCTAGTTATCATGTCAATTTTCGTCGAATTCTAAGATAGTCGGATTTTATACATTTTACGAGACAAATGGGTGATGAATGACCTTTCAAAGGTCCCCAAAAAAATGGGTTTGATAAAAATTCCTTATAATTGAGTAAAAGTTCAAATAAAATTAATTTGTACTGAAATCGAGATTTAATTAAGTTGTTTCGGGTTAAGAATGGACCCGAAAGTAGTAAACGTACGGGGCAATGTGGACCGCACAGTTAAAAAGTATAAATTGGGCTAAATATATGAAAATCAGATATTCTCACCCCTATTCAGCTGTGTTTAGACGTTGGAAGTGAGAGAAGAGAGAAAACAGAGAAAAACTCAAAATTCTACATTTCTCTTGACGATCTAAGGAGCTCCGTCGATCGGAATTGCTTGGACCAAAAATTAAAGTTGGTCTACGTGACAAGGGCTACGTCTATGTACCAAGAACAAGGGATTTCACCGAAGATCCAAGAAGAGAATTTTAGGAAATCAAAGCCCTTGGAGTTGTGGTGGTGTCCTAGGAGGCTTTCTACCTTCTATTTACGCTCTAAGAGGTAGGGTTTCTCCTATTTTGGTTGATTTCTTACCTAGGATGTATTATGGATTGGGTAAGGGTATTGAATAACATAGGTCATTTGGCTATGGCTATGAAAATGGGTATTGAAATGGTTTAAAATCAATTCCTAGCATGGGTTGATGTATAGAAATTATTGGGTGATTTCTTGAAAATTGGCATTGGGGAACATGTTATGTGTTATTTTATGCCTTGAGAATTGAGTGTATTATTGACATGAGTTATGTATAACATGCTTGTTGTGAATTAAGATTGAATATTAAATGTTAATACGTACTCCTTGCTATGTTGACTTGTGATGAAATTGGTGATTATGTACATAAGACATAAATTGCCGTGGGATAGGTAAAATGTGTGGTTTAAGTTGCTCATATGACATTCATTACATGTGAGACATGATATTGATGGGCAATGGTTCATTACCTTGCATTTTAACGGAGACATCGCATATTGAGGGTGTGTGTGCATGGTTGTCGTCTTAACCTCATTTGGTGTATGACGAGTAGACTTGGGAATGTTGGATCAATGATTTGACATTAGTTGCACAGTTTTATGGAAAATTGGGTCAGAATTAGCTAGAAGAGCTAGAATGTCTCTCGGGTGAAAGGCCCGGTGATTGGATTCGCACTCCATTGGTATAAGAGCCCATAAAGTGTTGGTGTACGCGAAACCGTTGGTGATAGTTCATGAATTATGTGTCGGC